GTTGTTACGTATCTGTCTATACGTCTGTTGTTGTTACGTGTCTGTCTGTACGTCTGTTGTTGTTACGTGTCTGTCTGTACGTCTGTTGTTGTTACGTATCTGTCTGTGTCTGTTGTTGTTACGTATCTGTCTGTACGTCTGTTGTTGTTACGTATCTGTCTGTACGTCAGTGGTTGTTACGTATCTGTCTATACGTCTGTTGTTGTTACGTGTCTGTCTGTACGTCTGTTGTTGTTACGTATCTGTCTATACGTCTGTTGTTGTTACGTGTCGGTCTGTACGTCTGTTGTTGTTACGTATCTATTTGTAAGTCTGTTACGTATCTGTCTATACGTCTGTTGTTGTTACGTATCTGAAAGTACGTCTGTTGTTGTTACGTGTCTGTCTGTACGTCAGTTGTTGTAACGTATCTGTCTATACGTCTGTTGTTGTTACGTGTCTGTCTGTATGTCTGTTGTTGTTACGTATCTGTCTGTACGTCTGTTGTTGTTACGTATCTGTCTGTACGTCTGTTGTTGTTACGTATCTGTAAGAACGTCTGTTGTTGTTACGTATCTGTTTGTAAGTCTGTTACTTATCTGTCAGTACGTCAATTGTTGTGTATAGATCTGTCCGTTTGTTATTTGCGCATTTGTATGTATGTCTTTCTAGTACGTCTGTCGTGCATTTGTGTGTGCGTAGTGTGTGTGTCTGTATGTCAGTTGTTTTGTATCCGTCTGCACCTCTGTGTGTTTTGTGTGTATGTTGCGCATCTGTCTGTACGTCATTTTACATATCTTTCTTATTTTATTGCGTATATATGCATACGTCAGTTGTTTTGTGTCTGTCTGTACGTCAGTTGTTGTGTGTCTGTCTATCTGTATGTCAGTTCGTATCTTAAGTGTCTGTCTGTATGTAAGTTGCTGTGTGTCTGTCTGTCTGTATGTAAGTTGCGTATGTGTCTAATGCCTAATAATCTGTACATTTTATGCATATTTGTTTGTTAAACTTTTATATGACCAGTACACAATACGAAATGCAGAATATGAAATACTTAATATCATATGCCAAATGCTTAATGCAATTGCCAATGTCTAATGTAAAATTCTAAAGCTAATAGATCAAATCCGGATTGTAATCGCCAAGGGAGATTTATGCACTGACTAGAAGCATTGAATTATTTTCCTTTGTCTGTTTCATGAAAAAAAGGGAGCTCAACTAACCCCCTTTCTCCTTTCTTTGAAATGAGGATTTCAGCTGTTGAAATCGGTATTGCGCAATTGGCACTAAACGCATTTAGCATTTGATAATGGATACAGATGTACAATAGATTCAAGGGTCCATTTTGTAAATATCCTAATTTAGTATCAACTAATGTTTTACGAAATCTAATGTTCAAAATTCCAAAACATCGATATCTTGTCGAAAAGAACCTACTTCATATTCTGGAAATAATAAACTCAAACACGAGTTTATAGAGCGATTTTGTTTTGAAGAAGTGGTAAATTAAGTCCTTCTATAAGGGCGTCCCTGTGTATCGGTCGCACTTAGCACACCTATGTGGAACATGGCAACATGGATTGAACTGGACCAGATTGATTGCCAGCATCCGTCTAAAATTAGGATGTCCCTGCTTAAAATCCGGTATATCCGGATGCTTTTTCCTCTCCTGTTACATAAAGATAAAAAAAAAACATCATATAGGTTCCGGAAAATGCGTTCGGTACCTTAGGTTTATTCCATATTTTTCAACATCTAGAGCTGTTTAAGATTGACTCATACAGTGCAGACCATGGGACATTTGGTTATTAGGAATAAATCGTTTACATATCTTAACACATTTAAACCCCGTGGACTTGAAAGTGTCTCAAGGTCATTCGGACGCAGCAACACCTTCGGGCCTGGTGAGCTAAAAGTGATATTACGATTAACGTACTGTGTAAGTTGAAATTTACGTGGTGTGGAAATGTTCGTGTTTTTTTGGCTGAGTAAATTAGCGTGAAAATATCCATACGTGAATATTAATTAATAGATTATAGATAAAAAGGATTACATTTCTATACCATTGTCGACGCGAAAATTTCCACACCGAGATCCGTTTAAAAAGTCTATGCGCGAATATTACAGTATCTGGGAACATAGATGGTTAGGGGTATGACAAGATTTGTTCTCGTCTACGTATAGAAAGTGTATATCATGTCAGGAATGTCTTGGAATTCACATGTATTATAAACATGGCAGCAAATATGACGCATTTGTGGGGCTAAAAATAAACTATGAAGGTGGCCACAGTGAAGCATATAAGACCGATTCAAGGGAAATTCATTCGTGGTCCTTTTAAAATGGTCTCCTTTGATATTTGCGTGAAAAAAAAATGCACACATCTTTCTGTATGTGGTTTCAACAACTATGTAACGTACCGAAGCTCCATTCGTCGGGTATTTTATTGCCGCAGGATTTGGTTAAATTCTTAAGTACTTACTTTGAACATTTTGTATCATCCGTGAACAAATATGACTCCGAATCATACATAACCGTGTAGATCATTTACATAGATGAAAAACACCATGGGACCTATAACAGACCCTTGTGGAACTCCCGATGTTATACGTTTTCCATTCGCAGAAAAAAGACTTTCCGGATTAGCTCCCAAAGACTCAGTTAGACTTGACACAGGACGTTTTGTCTCATTGAAAAAAGTTATTATCGGGTTATGATTGTGAAAAAGAAATCGAAGATGCGACTCCAGAAGTGGTCTCATTGTGAAATAAAATGAATTCGATCAGGTGTGATACAAGAAATTCTCAAGTGCTGAAAAACAGATTCTACCAGGCTTGACACAAGACGTTCTTTCTTGAAAAAAGCCAGATGGTCATGTTATAGTATATTTTTTTAAACAAATATTGGATAATTGTAATTCTAGGGTCAAGGTTCACTTGAATTGTAGGCGTATTTATGTAACTCTTCTGTTCTGAAATATATTATATTTTGAAGGAGGCACGGAAGTCTAGTGGTAGGACGCCAGGCTCGTGACCGAAGGGTTGCGTGTTCGAGTCACGGCACGGCACTGTGTTATATCTTTGAGCAAGATACTTTACTCCGCTTGTTCCAGTCTATTCAGCTGTAAATGAGTACGTAGTTGGGCAGTGCTAGAATTGTTGATTGCTAGCTGTTAGCAACGAAATGGCAGCTCCGGCTGTATGCTCTTCAGGGAGTTGAGAAAGGTATTGGCTGGTTGCAAAGTCCCAGGTATAACCACGGATAATAATTTGTGAACCGCTTTGAGACGACCTGCGAATTAGGTTGTGATAAAGCGGTATATATAAAAAGCTCGAATTATTATCATTAATTAAGAATGGTTCAACCCTACAAATGGACCGACTTCATTCAAAAAGGTATTTTGACTAAATTTGGTTGAAAGATGGTCACCTGGGTATTTTCATAAAAAGGAAATCACAACTAAGCTGTTTATGACAAGGAAGCCATACATAGCAATGACACCCCGTATGAAATCTTCATAATATTATTTGCCGTTGACATCACAATAGTGCTTCCCTTCAGGCAAAATAAGCATGACGCCTATGGGCCTTAACCATCGCTGGAGTGAAATTATTAGGAGTACATATAGTGTTATGTATATCTAAGTAGTCTTTTATTTAACATAAATACAGATTCCATTACCAATGGATCATTTTGTATAATGTTGGTTAAAATCAACCAAACATTTCAGAGAAGAAGTCATTTAAATGTTTTTGGCACTTTGAGACAGCAGATGGCCCCATGCCTCAGCCCCTGAGGATAATTTGCTCCTTCTCATGTACAGATTCTGATCCTCATCAGCTATGGATATTATTTTATGAAATGATGGATGAAAATCCACCTGTAGGATTCAGAGATAGCATTTAACCCCATCACCACTGTAGACCATAATGGACTTGTCCAGATCAATGCATGGTTGAGTCTACTAAAGTTATATAGGGTTGAAAGGATTAAAGGTCTCTGATGAAAATTTGAGAATATGCTTGTTTACAGACATGTTGACAAAAGACAATCACAAAAGGTCACCTGAGCGACTAGGTTTTATTTTGTTAAGGGACAAAGCAGGGGATAACAACTACCATTTTTAAGGACTTTAGTATGTCCCGGCCTGGGGACAGAATCCATTGCCTTCCTCACCTGGGCAAACGCTCCGCATTAAGGCCAAAAGTGAGGTGTCGCCAAGCAAGGCGCTAGGAAATAAAAAGGTAGTCGGAAGTAGAAAGAAAGATAAAGATCCCAAATGTTGTAATAGGTGAAGCAGATTTATTTTGGTCGGCTGGTGAGACTCAAGTGACCTCAACCATTCATGTAAATGAAGACAAAAAGAAAACATTGTGCATTTAAAATTGTTTTATTTCAAGTGTTTAAGCTTTTAAATCAATAACACAGCAGAATATTTCAATATGAAGAGTTTGATTTGTTCATTTTTAAAAATATTTCATTTGTGGTTCTGTTTCGTGAACAGTCATGCATTTAATTGTTTAAGAACAATACACATTTAAATTAACAATCAATCTGACAATTAAATGAGGTAATAAAATTGGATTCATATACAGTGCGACACTAGCAGATGACTGCACAAACATAGAATAGACATAATCTAACTAGTTACCCGTGTTGGTGACATGAGTTACCCCTGTTTGTGGCATCAACAGGCGATAATACCACCCCTAGGTGTTCATCGAAGGTTGGATACATAAGTGCATTGTGTAAAAACATTTCACGAGGAAGTTAGCCTTAATGAGATATAGTATCTCTGCATGTGGCATTGTATTTTAACAGGAGAAAGAGAAATGCAACATGGGAGAGTCTACTAAAGTTGCATAGGGGTGAAAGGGTTAACATTCCTCTTATATTTAGATAAAAAAAATCGCCCTATGATCACAAAGATGTATATAGAACTCACAACATGTATGTTTGCTTATTTTTTGTTTTTTCCGAACATTCGAGTACAATGAGAAATGCTGATAAATCGACAACAGTAACATACAATGTTACCTTAAACTATTCTTGGTGCCAATTTTTTTTTATTAATTATACTTATTTTCAATTATTACTGTAATGATTGGGTTTATCCGAAAGATTTTGATTCGTTCAACTAGGGTACAAAAAAAATGTGTTTTGCAATGTGAAACATAGAAACCTTATATAACATTTACCCTGAACATTTCATGCAATTATATAGTACAATTCTCCATAAATGTAAAAAAAAAACATAAATATATATAAGTGGTAAGCGATTGTTTTTCTCACTTTCACAAACTCTTAGGCGTTGGCTGCCGATCGAAAAATAGATCATTTCACAAAAGTCACGCGTTATAAATTAAATGTCATACTTTCTATCACAAACCATACCTCACAAAACACAAACGTTTTTACTTGTATTTCCTGTTCGGGACATAGGATATTGGCTGGAAGCATTATTTAACGCTGTAACAAGTCAGAAATCTATATAACACAATAAAATATAATATAACAATACATATATTAATAATCCCCTAAATTATACACAATTAACACCTCATATATATGTCAGTAACAAAATGTAATTCCTTCTTTGATGTATTATTGTATCCAATTTTACTTGGATGAAATGTTGTGTGCCATTTTGAATACTAAAAACTAAAACTTAGTGCATTATGAAAATTAAGAAATAAGCAGATTGATTAATTAGTGCAACCACACTTTTTGCAATAAAAAACAAACAAAAACTTCAATAACCACAATCATAATTTAGCATAATATTAAAATCACAAAAAACACCAGAATAATGCTAAATCTACGTGTACATTATAGATTATACAAAAAAAAAAATCCGAAACAATTTATTCAACATAAACTTTTATATAAATATAAACAGTAGAAAAAAAGTCTGGACATATAACTCATATCAACTGATACAAATGTCTCAACAGGTAAAAAATTCATAGAAAAAATATCCCCTCTAGGACATGTCAGCCAATCAGATTCATAGAAGCATGTTAGCCAATCAGATTCAAAGAAGCACGTTAGCCAATCAGATTCAAAGAAGCATGTTAGCCAATCAGATTCAAAGAAGCATGTTGGCCAATCAGATTCAAAGAAGCATGTTGGCCAATCAGATTCAAAGAAGCACGTTGGCCAATCAGATTCAAAGAAGCATGTTGGCCAATCAGATTCAAAGAAGCATGTTGGCCAATCAGATTCAAAGAAGCACAAGTGACCTTTTACCTTGTTGGATTATCATTAAAAATATATATTCATTGACCATAAATCTGGTCAAAATCAAACTATATGTGGTACAAAATATATATAAATTATGTAAATCTATACAACTAAACTGTACACTTTAAAGTTATTATGCGTTTTGTTTGTTCGATATTCGCAATTGATAGAAAGGTTTTAAAACTGGTAAATAACAAGATATCTAAGAAATAAAGAATTCAAGTTTTGACAGATGAGTTCATTTTTTCCATTTACCCCCTTCAGGAGTTTTCAGCTGTTTAATTACATATTCAAAATATGTGATGTCTAAACAATGAAAAATCCATACTGATAAACAAAGTCAGGAAAAAGCAGCAATATTATGATGACAAAACCTGTATATTAGTATAGTGTTATAGGGGAATCATATAGGGTTGATTATTTACACACAGGAATGTATGTCAAGTAACAATAGTAAATATGAATCAGTTTGTTTGGTTTGTTAGTGTTTTATGTCCTATTAACAGCTGTGTAATCATTTAAGAACATGCCAGGTTTTGTGGTGGAGGAAAACTGGAGTACCTGGGGAAAACATGAATGACCTGTGGTTAGTTCCTGGTAAATGCCCAAAGTAGGGCTTGAACTCTTGACCCAGTTGTGGAGGGCAAGTGATTGTAGACAGACAGACGCCTAAACCACTTGGCCACCAGGTGGTGGAGGGGAAGTGATTGTAAACAGCTGACCATGAATGTTCCCTGGAAGGTAAATGATATACATAATGTTTCGGGGACATGTCCTCTACCAGGTTGTTTTTAAGCTCTATAACAGGCATGGGAGATAACTCAGACAGGTAACGTGAGATAGCTCAGACATAACGTGGGATACCTCAGATGGGAGATAACTCAGACAGGTAGCCTGAGATACCTCAGATGGGAGGTAACTTGGACAGGTAACGGGACATACCTCAGATGGGAGGTAACTCAAACAGGTAACGGGACATACCTCAGATGGGAGGTAACTTGGACAGGTAATGGGACATACCTCAGATGGGAGGTAACTCAGACAGGTAACGTGAGATACAACACATGGGAGATAACTCAGACAATTAACGTGAGATTCCTCAGATGGGAGATAACTCAGACAGGTAACGTGAGATAACTCAGATTGGAGATAACTCAGACAAGTATTATGAGATACCTCAGATGGGAGATAACTCAGACAAGTATTATGAGATACCTCAGATGGGAGATAACTCAGACAGGTAATGTGAGATACCTCAGTTTGGAGGTAACTCAGACAGGTAACATGAGATACCACAGATGGGAGGTAATTACTCAGACAGGTAACATGAGATACCTCAGATGGGAGGTAACTCAGACAGGTAATGTGAGATACCTCAGATGGGAGATAACTCAGACAAGTATGGCAGAAAAGAGAAATATTATAAAAACAATGAATAGATATCTTTCCAGAAATATAGATATCTTTCCAGAAATAAAGTTTAAAATTCAAACTTACTGGGAAAAAAAAGAAACACCACTGCGATCAATATCAGTACGAATATTTTCACTGCTAAATCAACAATATTGGCAGTTAGAAAAATGATTGTTTATTTGATTCTGCACATCAATGAATTTATTATAAGTTAGGAAATTGGTTTTCATCAAATTTGTTCACTGAACTTGGTGAAAAGATTGTGAAGTAACCCTTTGTCAAATGTGGTGATGGTCACAAATTTAGAGTTACACAACTATTTCAACGACGGTATATTTTCGTCAAACATGGTCGCTAAAATGTATCAAATGTGGTTGTTTAACGTAATTTTGGGGTCAGTATCCGGTGGTCGCTGGTCACGTTGGACAGATGGTCACTTAATACAATCACTCTGTGACTGTTATTGACACATACATTTTCCATAATCACTTTGTAACTCTCATTGACACAAACATGTTACACAATCACTTTGTAACTCTCATTGACACATACATGTCATACAATCACTTTGTAACTCTCATTGACACATACATATTACACAATCACTCTGATCAGAGAGTTACTGTATTAAGCGACCATCTGTCTAACGTGACCAGCGACCCATTCATTATAAGCACCGCCCTATCCTTTTTTGATCATAACATCCCATTCGTTATAAGCACTGCCCTATCCTTTTTCATCATAACATCCCATTCGTTATAAGCACTGCCCTATCCTTTTTGATCATAACATCCCATTCGTTATAAGCACTGCCCTATCCTTTTTGATCATAACATCCCATTCGTTATAAGCACTGCCCTATCCTTTTTGGATCAATGTGTCCCATTCCTTATAAACACCCCTATGTTTTTTGGGTCGGATTGTCCCATCATCCCCTATCCTTTTTGGATCCATACGTCCCATTCCTTATAAACACCCCATTTCCTTTTTGGATCAAATCCTCTCATTCCTTATAAGCATCCCCTATCCTTTTTAGGACAGAGAATCCAAACCCTTTGCCTTAATTTAGGTTCATCATTCAAATTTTCCCAAAATGCCTTGTACCCAGGCTGTCTATCATGTTGATGAGCAGGTCTGTTTATAGGTATGCTTTAAGTGTTTGTGTTAGGGATAATATCAGCTTTTTGACTTGATGCTATTTTGAAAGGAAAATGACCAGAAAAAAAACTATCAAAGGGAGATTACTCAGAAATAAAAAGAATTTTACACTTATGCTGTGTTCTTTTCTATTGTGTTGTATAAATATTTTGAGGTAACATGGATCTACCAATATCTAATAAGTTATTTATTTGATATGAAATGTATAATTTTCCACATTTTTTGGAATTATTTTTTCTGAGCTTGAGTGTTCTTATTCTGTCATGAACAACTGTATTTTTTTTTCCTTATTTGATGGAAATACAGTCATTGTCTTCAAATGTGAACACTAGTTTATCATTTCTTACTTTCATTAACAAACTATTTTATTTTTTCATGAATGAATTGCAAATATGCAATTCTAAATAATGGGACCAATTCCATTCATTAGGTCAGAACCAGCATCCCAAGTATCACACGTGATATGCATCCTTAGATACAAAAGCCATGCAAGTTTAATTAATTTGGGATAATTAGTAATTGGAAACTGAGCTTAGCCATTCTTCTTAACCTTTGTGCAGACAGATGGTTGGACGGACGGATGCCATTCTTCTTAACCTTAGTGCAGACAGATGGATGGACGGACGGACGGTAATCGCCAATCTGTAAGCCCTGATTGCGTTGCAATCAGGCCAAAAACCATATCTTCACAAATATGAAATCCTTGAGAATATGTATGGATGCTCTCAAAACAAAAAGTTTCAGCAGAAATTAACTGATATACATTAAGCAAACATTATCACACATCCACTTAACACTATTGCATGCCCACAAAACAAAATCATGCTCTCAACAAATCAGTCAGATATACAGAGGGAAGGCCATGTATGATTTATATGACAGAATCTACAAGTAAATTGTCACAGAATCCAGTATAAATCGGATGGAATGTAAATATATCCACATTCTGACAAATAACTGAATATTAGAAAAATACAACGGAATGTCTGTGAATTTCAATAACGTACATTATATTCAGCATAAAATAGATTTCGTTATAGCACCTGTCGTCTGAAAATGATGTCATTTTACAGCGACACCTCTCTAAACATAACTCCACTGGGACCAATAATACACTTTTGGGAAAAGACACTTTTTCAAATTCTCTGGTACACACAGGTGTCTGGTATACACAGGTGTCTGGTATACACAGATGTATTGTATATACAGGTGTCTGGTATACACAGATGTCTTGTATACACAGGTGTCTGGTATACACAGATGTCTTGTATACACAGGTGTCTGGTATACACAGATGTCTTATATACACAGGTTTTCAAATTATGTCAGATTCATATAAGACAGGCTATATATATACATGAAACCCGTAACTGATTTTCTTTATTTTGTTTCCCCTAAAGTTTGGTATAAAAACTGCGGGAAAGAATCTAGCTAGCTGACAACAACATTGACCAACTCATCTAGCCGAGACAGAAATATGTAAAGTAGAACTTGTCTAAATCGGAAACCAACACTGACAAACACATCTAGACGAGTCGGAAATATGCAAAGTAGAACCTGTCTTAATCAGACAAAAACCAAAAAAATTAAATGCTCATATTAGACAGGATTTTGAAAACACACTTAATTTAGTGATAATGATATTTAACTTCATGCTGTATTATCTGACGAAATTGCTTCAAAATACTAAGCTAACTGTCTCTGTTTGTATACTGACACACTGTACCATCCGACATAAAAACCACTGTACTATCAGAACAAATAAATCATACAGATGACAATGTTTTTCATCGTATTTGATAAGCAACATCACAGTTAGATTCAGCAAAAAATATTGAATTAGCAGTATTTACACACAAAAATGAATTGAAATATAAAAATATATTTTACCTGAAAATAACGGCACCTTCACAACAGATGTGATTTAAAAATAGAGTAAATATAAATGTCTAACTGGATTTTACTTTCTCTAACGTGTGTCCATTCTTCGTGACTTTGTCGTCCTGTTGTCGGGGTTGGGCGGGTAACAACGTTAAAAACAGCATCGCGACCAAACCGGCAATGTGTAACCACCAGTACATATTACTGAAAGAGAAAGACATTTGACTTAGTATTTAACGATGCAAAGTTACATCTATGGCAGGGCTACAGAAATCCTTCAATGGTCATTCTTACTGGAAGGGAGACTACTCATCTGTATGATAATTATTTATTTTCAAATAAAGAGGGTTTGTTTGTTTGTTTGTTTGTGTTTAACGGCTCATTGACGGCTGTTGTCATTTAGGGCCATGGTGATTTTTCTTTCTTTTTTTTTTTTTTTAAACGAACATGTGAGTAGCGAAGATTAAATCAGATAAAAATATTCATTTTTAAAAGCATTCGCATTGTATGTGTAGATAATTAAAATAAAAAGGGGGTTCAAATAATAAAAGAGATACCGAATAGATGATATGGACTATATATAACATCTAAGAGGGTAAGGTGGGTTATAGAATAGACCGATGTCTTTCAAATAGTTAAATAATGCCTTCGAGTCCACGGAACTGAAAAGAGATTTCATATCCAGGACTCGAAAGTAGTTATCACGAATGTGTTTAAAATCGGAACATCCTATTAAAAACTGTTCCACTGTGGCATGGAGGTGGATCTTCTCGTTTTAAAATAAAGAGGGGTACTGATATACATGTATATATACAATGTATTACATGTCCATGCATCATTACAAGAGTGAAAGACAAAACTTACTTATAAAATATCATTGATTCGTTGAAATAAAGGACGTTGAATGCGACCCCCGTATAGGCCAAAGCCATGTGTGTTAAAAGGAACGTCAGGAAATCATAAAATTTCTTCAGGGATGTTGACTTCAAGAAGAACGGACGAACTTTCCTCCGAACCTGCAACAGAAAGGCATGAACTAATATCTCATTTATCTATTTCAGTGAATTTTGAGAGAAAAATTTCAGGATACCTCACAAGAAAGTTAGGGATAAAAAAAAACAATTTTGTTATCAGTTACTCACAAGAGAAACGAATTCTAACTTTCGTGAACAACTTTTTTCTGTCTATCAAACAAAAATTATCTTACTCTTCTGATAACCAGATGGACAAAATGTTATATTTGTTTGGGCGACCACAAACTTTTACATGGTAATTATGAATGTCCTATTTTTTCACTCTTTAGGCGATCAAGACTTCAAATTTATTCGGATGTTCGCCCTCTGAGATACTAGCTGCCTGTAAAATCCAATACCATCATCAAAATCTTAACGGGAAGAATAATTCAACATTTGGTGTATAAACATTAAAAGAATCAGGGACAAATGTTTAATCATCAACAGCAGATTACAAATGCTGGAGGTTCAAGTTTAAGGATTTTTCAAGAACTTTTATTCATTTTTCAGGTTGTTCATGGCTGAGAGTAATTTTCAAGGGTTTTTAAGGCTGAAAGTCATTTTCAAGGGTTTTCAAGACAGACATCAAATTCAAGGGTTTTTCAAGACCTGTGTAACCACGGAGATATTGAGATTGCATTTCTTTTCCTGAAGAAGAATGGATGATTTGAGAGGTTCAGTATTTTAGAATGACACTATTACCGTTTAGGTTTCGCTTGACCAGTATAAACTAACACTTTTGTTCAGTAAAACTAAGAGTTTATGAAAGTTAGTTTTGAACTCACCATCCTGGCAGCTTGGATCATAAACGCTCCAGAGAGGAACGTGAAGTAGTACCCCGGAAAACAGCCGTGCCAGAGTGCACTTAATATAAATGTAAACAGTGTGCGCTGGAACGGAATCCGTGTGTAACAAATGTACCGGAACCACAAAACTGTCTGGACATTCCAGTTGTCTATAAACATCTTGGCACTAGTTGATCGCTGTAAACAAACAATGATTAGAGCTTGATCAAGGTCAAATGGTGAAGCGGTAAACAAATGGCAGAGGTCAATTTTTGTAGCAGCAACAATCTTGGAGTTTGATCGACCGGGTCAGTAACGAAGGTCAGAGGTCAGTAGCAATGATTAGAGGTCGACTGATGTCAGCAACAGTTAAACAAGATCAGACCAAGTGGGGTTTTCTTCAGGTACTCTGGTTTCCTCCCACATTAAGACCCCCTGCTGGCTAACATCTGGGCCAACAAGAGTGATAAATGTAAGCTAAAATAACTTTTTTCATAATTGTTGTATAAAAAATAAAGTTTCTATCTATAATTAACAAGAGATCCCAGAGGGATCTTGGTGCCCACCATTGTACCATCTTCATTAGTTCTTAGTCAGTTTGATCTTTTCTCTCCTTTACCCTAAACTGTTTGATTGAGTTATGTAAACAGCAAATGCACCTTGAGGTAACTTTTGATCTAAACTTAATACTGATGTGTATGAAAGCCAACCTTCAAAGTGAGTTTGTCATTTCACATATTTACTAGTACGGTACTTAATGTGAAAGAAATAGAATCGATCATTGCAATATGAGAAAGATCTGTTTAATTCTTCCTTTATCCATTTTGTTTTTATGATCAGTCTCAAAATATAACATGCACAACAAGGGATCAAGGGGAACCTACATATCAAATTTGAGAAAGATCCCTCAAGTTATTCCTGAGAAATAGTACTAACAAACCTTCAATGTCAAAAATCAAAGATGGCTGTCGGTAGGCCGTTTTGTTTAACTGATCAGTTTCAAAAGTAAACATGAACAATAAAGGATAGTGGGGAACCTGCATTGGCTGGCCCAAAAAAAAAATTAACACAATGCTTCAGCACATTTAAATTACAAATAACATGACAATGTTTGTAATATGTAAAACAGAATAAAACATTATATTTTTAATTCTTCAACCCTAGTTAAAACCTGACATGATCCACTTCATTCAGGTCTTCCTAAAAAGAAATACACAAAACTCGCACCTCAAAGAAGACACCCTGGCAGTATTTATATAGAAAATCTGAAAAAAAAAATATCACATTTTCTCAATCACGGACAGTTCGATTCAAATCGAAGTAATGACAACTGAAAAATGTACTGCCCCCAGTTAATGTGGAAGGGACTATAATTTCTTTTATTCATTCATTTTTTGACAGTCGCTCAAACTATTTTTGTTGGCCAGTGACTACCTCACTTTTGACAACTTTTGGTCACTCGAGCAAGATTTTAATCGCCATACACGAGCAGGCAACCGTCCATTTCAGGCACTGCAGCACAACAAGGGAACAAGGGGAATCTACATATAAAACTTGAGAAAGATCCCTTGGGTACTTCCCGAGAAATAGCGATAACAAACTGTCACTATCAAAATCCAAGATTGCTACCTTTCGGCCATGTTGTTTATACGATCAGTCTCAAAGGTTGCCCTGCACAGCTTAGGACCATGGGGAACCTACATATCAAATTTGAGAAAGATCCCTCTGGTACTTCCAGAGAAATACTGATAACAAGAATTGTTTAAGGACGGATGACGGACGACAGACGGACAGACCACGGACGCAGGGTGATTTGAATAGCCCACCATCAGATGATGGTGGGCTAAAAAGGGGTCAGAGGTTAATTGGTGTGTCAGTAACAAAGGTCAGAGGTTAATTTATATGACAATAATAAGGGTCAGAAGTGATTTTTTTTTTTTTTTTAGCAACAATTGGAATAAATCGATTACGTGATGAGGTAATAAACATAAGGGTCAGAGGTCAATAATGAAATGTATTTCAAAGTCAAATGAATGCAGCTTGAGGTTGTGAGTAGTAGAAGTAACTTACTTCCAGCTCGAAGGGTTTGATGTTTGTGATGAGATCCCATTTCGGCTTACCAGATGGTGTAAAACCATTAAAACCCAACCCTGAGGCATTGTTGATGGCGTCACCTAAAAAATCAGAAAACGTCACCATTCAAAATAGGAATATTTATAATTTTAAATGATGGCGTGTCAGAAGAAAAGTTCCAGGGAAAGGTCGTAAAGTCATAGATTATGTGGCTAAAGGCATGTGAAACTAACACTGCATTCATAACACAAGACATGAGAAGTACAGAGACAGACTGTGATAGGTAACAAAAACAAGGAGAAGATTTCCGTTGTTTTACTATCCTTATATGTGGCTAGGACGGTGCACATACTATGATACTGCAACACAGTTGGGGAAAACCCCTCTGAAGGAAGTCAGGAAATAAGTCACTAAGTGCATATGTAAAAGATGTGCATTGATTGGGCTGCCTTACAAGCGTCAGCTGCAGAGAATTTCCCTTTAGCTAAGAGGTAGAGCACCGGGCTGGAGAAACATGGGTTGTGGGTTCAAGCCCAAGCGACGGCACTATTTTTATCACTACTCCTCGTCCTACTACACGTGAGCATCGAGTATGAAATGAGATCAAATGTCCAGCAGGAACTGTGTCATTCAAATGGCAAGTGCGGGGAGCTGACCTTATCAACCCCTTATATGTATACACGCCCCTTTCACGTCACAGCTCACATGCTTGCATTTCTCACTCGGACCCATTTCCTGGACAACAACTGGATAAACAGGTTACAGACAAATATAGACACAGGACGAATACTTGACTCATGTGTACATTATAAATAGACAAAAAGGGAAATCCCCTACAACACTCAGGCCACAGCTCACCCCCTGTAAACAGTAACACACACAAACAAATGACACACAAATGACCCTACAACAAGACTAAAGTACTCACCCATGGTCCAGATGAGGTAGTATTTGACCTTACAACAGGTCATAGAGATGACGGCGTACCCCATTCGGTACACAACCCCGTGGGAGGCAATGAACACTGGATCTGTAAAGATGGTTTTGAAAATTGATACAAAGATGACTAAGGAAAAAAAACAAAAAAAAAACTTATACAAATCAACTGTCATAAAAAAAAAAAATCTTCTATATATCTACTTTGTAACTGAAAAAGATCTGTATTTGCTGATTCATCGGGCCATAATTTAAATGTAACAGTACATTATTACCCTTAACAAACTAGAAATCAAAAGGTCGCTATTCCATCTTTTAGTATTACAGAGTTATCTGCTCTTGCAGGTATTGATTGTTACGTCATTTGTTTGTGAGAGTAACGTCATAATTTTTTGAGAAAACGACGTAATTTTCTCACACAAACTAATGACGTAACAATCAATACCTGCTCACAAGAGCAGATAACTCTGCAATACGAAAAGACGGAATACAAGAAGAACGACTATCATAGGAAAAGTACCACTATAAGACATGCCATCCTCGGTACTCCAGGAGTTACGCTCACTTCCCCTCTCTCCACCCCTGGAATATGTCATAGCAAAATTGAAGGCTCAGTGTGCACCACCTTGTGGATGAGACAACAGGACTAGTTTGATCCTCTGATGTACATCAAAAGAATCTCTCTGGTTTTGAAGTCGGGTGTCGCTCCTCTGTTATCTTCAAAGGACAGGTATCAGCCTAGTGATTGGTCAGGTGTTTTTTACCCGAGACCAATCAAAAAGCTAGTTGGGTGCCTTCAATTTTCGCTATGACATATCCCAGGGGTGCAGAGAGCGGAAGGTGAGTGGACCCTTGGAGTAGTGAGGATGAAGACACACCACCTCCCTTGTATATACAGGATTTGTTTTAAACAGTTCCTCAATCACACACATTTCTACAAAATGAGAATCATCTCATTCTCTGTAAAGCTGCTTTAAGACAAATCCAGAAAAAAACTTGATTTGGAACAAACTTAAATCTTGGGGATTACTCTTGTATAACTGTGGTGCATATTAAGGGAAAATAGTCCTTACTAGTAAAAATTATTGTTTTTTATATAGTTGTGGTTGTTTAACACAGTAGAGATTGTTCTTTTAACTACAATTAAATCTGACTTATGGCTTTACTCAAAAAGACTATGTCCAAGAAAAAGTGACTATATTTGTGAGACCATTATACTAAATGACTATGTGTACAGAACTAGAACACGGACGGGTCATTAAGGGCTATGCCATGTGCCTGACCGACCCCTCACCCTTCAAGTCTATTTTTAGTAACAGTAACCTTGATCTTTACCTTTTAAAACTGTTTAACCCTTTTCGGACATCTACATATCACAGTGTATCACCATGTCAAATTTCAAAATGATTAGACTTTTGGATTCCAAGATAAGGACTGCATCACCCATGGTCTATTTTTAGTAACAGTGACCTTGACCTACTTAACCTTAGACAAATTTCAACAGAGTATCACCAAGTAAAATTTCATAAAGATTCGTCTTTAGGTTTTCGAGATAATCTTTGGTAAGGAAAGTGTGGATGGATAGACGGATGGGCCAACCAATAGACAGAAACCATGATTATAGGGCACCTGCATATCCAATGCAGGACCCTAAAAAGTCCAATATATGCTGTACAACACTAGCTGGATAATGGGACCAACACCTGTTTGAACCTATTTTGTCCCCAGTGTGCAAGACTATGCCCCAAGACTTATTACAGGTAAATTACAACACACCTGAGTAAATTCGACTTATTATAGGTAATTTACAACAAACCTGAGTTACCTTAAGTAGGCTTTTTACAGGAAAATTACAACACACATGAGTTAAGTAGACTTATCACAGGTAAATTTCAACACACTTGAGTTGAGTAGACTTATTACAGCTAACTTACAACACAACTGAGTTGAGTAGACCTATTACAGGTAAATTACAACACAACTGAGTTAATTAGACTTATTACAGGTAAATTACAACACACCTGAGTTGATTAGACTTATTACAGGTAAACTACAACACACCTGAGTTGAGCAAGGCAGGAAATCTTGGCGCTATGAAGACATGTACACAAATCCAGAATAAAGTTTCACACAGTTTAAGACACACAGGTTTCTGCAAAACAAACAAAAATGTTAGAATTGACAAGTTTCCTGTCTGTGTGTTCGCTGCTGGCTAAACTGAAGGCCTTCATCCTGTCATTATTACAAGTCAGATAAGATAAATTAATCTGCAATCATGTAAGTCAGTTTTCTTTATAAACTTAAAGACAATAATGACACAGACTCTGTAATGGAAAAATACAGTGTTACCGTAGACATCACCTTACTTGTTAGGTATACGGTGTTACCGTAGACATCACCTTACTTGTTAGGTATACAGTGTTACCGTAGACACCACCATACTTGTTAGGTATACAGTGTTACTGTAGACATGACCATACTTGTTAGGTGTTACAGTAGACATCACCTGACTTGTTAGGTATATACAGTGTTACCGTAGACATCACCTTACTTGTTAGGTATACGGTGTTACCGTACACATCACCTTACTTGTTAGGTATACGGTGTTACCGTACACATCACCTTACTTGTTAGGTATACAGTGTTACAGTAGACATCACCTTACTTGTTAGGTAGACAGTGTTACTGTAGACATCACCTTACTTGTTCGGTATACAGAGTTACCGTAGACATCACCTTACTTGTTCGGTATACAGAGTTACCGTAGACATCACCTTACTTGTTAGGAATACAGTGTTACCGTAGACATCACCTTACTTGTTAGGTATACAGTGTTACCGTAGACATCACCTCACTTGTTCGGTATACAGTGTTAAAAGTGATGATTTTCTTCGCATTGTGTTGGGTGCTAACTACAGATCTTCATCTTTCACTTTTAACTGTAAGGTCACATGTCTGTTATTTGTACGAAATAAGATTGATCAGTTTGGTTTTGGTTGGGATTGTTTGTGTTTTACGTCCTATTTACAGCTATGGTCATTTAAGGACATGCCAGGTTTTGGTGGTGGAGGAAAGCCGGAGTTCCCGGACCTATATGCCCCATATATTAAATTTAGCACTGCAGTCAAAAAACACTGGAGAATTCCACTGTAGTTATTTGTCATACAGTTACCAATATATAGCTCACTTGGTTAGAGCAACACCTCAGTGACCAGAGGACCTGGGTTAAACCTAGTCTGCCCCTGTGCATTTTCACACTTGGATACATTTTTTTAATTTTTTTTTAATTTTTTTTTAATTTTTTCATCAACATTCCGCATGATATGCTTTTCTTTTCCAAAATTATTTATCAAAGCGATAATCAAGCTCAAAATAGGTTTCAATGCATTGCTACAGTTTTTTGCAGTGGTACGGAGATCCCTAAGTAAATTGACAGACAAAACTTAGTGCCACACACAGTACGGTTGATGAGATACCAACTTCTGTATATTGTACATCCAAACCACCAAATAAACGATTTTTATTATTGTATCTAGTGTCATAGAGACTATTATATAGAAAACATCCCTATCACAACTTATTAATCGAACATTGTACATCGTATAAGACTGAAATTTTATTTTTAATTTTTCAATTAAGAATTCATATGCTAGCTGCTATACTTACGATAGGAGACGGTGGAAGACGATGGATTTTCTTTGAATTTTTCTCCTGCACAAGGTAGAAAAAAAGTACACAATGCTATCAGATTACAATAATTATATATACTTTTTTTTACACTTTTTTTTTTACATGTTAGTGTTAACTTTATTTATTTTACAAGAATTACAAAACAAGTTATATTAACTTATTATCACGTCCGTCAGGGAATCAAACCCAGGCTGTCTTGGTGAAAGGGAAGTGTGCTATCCACTGCGCCATCTGACTACCTCACTACCCGACCACCCGACTACCCTATGATATACTTCAAAGACAGATTACCAGATGGATGGACAGACAAATGGAATATAGAACAAACATTAAACAGGATATTTTCTACTATAGAGTATACTACAGTATATGTTATCAATAAATGAAAATATCTTCCTTTTTTTGTTTCAAATTCATCTGCTTTCCTTTACTAATGCTAATCCATAACTGAAGAAACAGATTAACCCAAGTGTTACAACTTTTTCCCAGGATTGTCATTCATTTATGATAATTCATTTTCACAGAACGTAAAAAATCCAAGTAATATTTCCAGAATATTTCAAACATTCATTTTATTTAAAGTTATACTTACAAGTTCAGTGTTGATATCTCCATCTTTTCTGTCGTTTGAGTTTATTTCCATCTGAAAAAATATATAATAAATTGGTAGATTTCAATTTTTTCATATATATTAATGCGATTGACGAGGGGGCCCACCATCTACAGCTTTAATACAATACAGAGTCTCTATAGAAAATCAGAGAATCACCTCATGACAGCTCTTAACCAACAATTTCTTGATATTCTCTTCAAACGACGGTATCAATATGAGCCAAAAATTTGGCATGTTTGTGTTTTACATCCTATTAACAGCTATGGTCATTTAAGGACGTGCCAGGTTTTGGTGGTGGTAGAAAGCTGGAGCTCCCAGTGAAAAACAACGACCTTGTAACGGCCAGAACCTGGCGACTGCCCCACGTAGGCCTCAAACCAGCGACCCAGTGGTGGAGGGCTAGTGGTAGCAGAATGCCAGACGCCTAAACCACTTGGCCACTGCGGCCCCCAGATATAGGGCAAGTTTCCAGTTACATAGAAAACATTAGGATTGAACAGCTTTTTTTTTTCAATTTCATGCCGGTATGAATTCAAATTGGTTACATACATATCGTTGTTAAATCCTTATGTTTCCATTCTTGTTATTTCGTTATGAGCCAATACACAAACTCACATCACTCTGTGGGTTGACTGGGAGGTGGATGTTTTCTCCTTTCACGAAGTCTTGATAGTCACAGTAAAAAGATGGCGGCCCAGCCACAACACTTTGGAAGTAAAATATGTAGCTGAAGTATTCTAAAGTTGACGGCTTTCTCCTGCAAAATAAAATCAATTTATATTATTCCGAAAGTGACAGCTTTATTCTCCTGCGAAATAATATCAATGCAATAAACTTTTCACAATCGACAATTTTGTAATGTAATCATGTTTTAGATTATCATTGAAATATTCAATTATGCGTATAAATGACTAAAGTTAAGATAATTACCAGATTACTAGGTCTGACCTTATTTCATAAACGAACAACTCTGGTTCAACGGGTCAAACTATTTTAATCACTATAAATGAAAGCGGCCCAGTTGAGGTAGATACTGTTTTTGTTTTTGCCAATATCAAAATAGATCTAAGACAGCTTAGTAAAACTTATCTTAAGATTCTGAAATCAACACTTTTGAGACTTAACCATTTACATATATTTACATTTGTGCTGCGACCCACTTTAAGAACATACTAGCAGAAATGGATTTCATTTGAGTATGAAAACAAATACTCTCGTGACGTGACACATGGTTTACTTATGACCTCATAGATTAACCTTGTTCAATGAGATTCTTGTCGCTTTCCTTCGGATAACATGGAGAATGCCCCTGCGTCAAACGCTTAAATGACTACGGTTAATTATTGGCACCAATTTTATTAGGATAGGGCTGTTCCATCAATGTCATTTAAAGGACGACGCATATACAAAACACAGTAAGTAAATGAATTATTTAAAAACATATAAATTAAATTAAACAATTGTTCGATAGTAAAAATGTAAATATATGAATTGAATACCTACATGAAAGTGCTGTAGATATCACACAACATACCGTAGAGAATGCCTCTTGTGGTTTTCTATGAGTGTCTCCGGTTTGCGGTGAAAACCATCGTGTAACCCAAACGCTACAATGGTCACTTTCAGAGTGGTCAACATGAGTGGGCTGGAGATTAATGTAAACAAAACATGTCATTTATTGTTTTCTGAATTAATTTTATTCAACAACTTGCATAACTACACAACAGAGGACAAGCTGTACAGTAAAACATTGTTATACTGCCACCATTTATCCAGAAACAGATTTAAAATTGGCATTATGAAGGAGTTTGGCGATGAATTCAGAAAAATATATCAAGGAATTCTAAAGAAAAGTAGAAGAGGAATCTTAAAATAAAGTGGCTGTAATTAAGCGGGGCACATCCTTGCCAACTCTCCCTATTTAGAAGGTTGACTTACAAATTTGGATCCTTAAATATGGCTAGTGTGCTCAACTCATTAAATTATACAGTAACTGTATGGGGCGACTGTTGAGACCAATTGAAAATCTTACTCTGAAACATCTAGAGGGTATTTCTCTAGGTTTGTGGTAAGGAGACTCACCCTGAAACATCTAGAGGGTACTTCTCTAGGTTTGTGGTAAGGAGACTTACCCTGAACCATCTAGAGGGTATTTCTCTAGGTTTGTGGTAAGAAGACTTACCCTGAAACATCTAGAGGGTATTTCTCTAGGTTTGTGGTGAGGAGAATTACCCTGAAACATCTAGAGGGTATTTCTCTAGGTTTGTGGTAAGAAGACTTACCCTGAAACATCTAGAGGGTATTTCTCTAGGTTTGTGCTAAGGAGACTTACCCTGAAACATCTAGAGGGTACTTCTCTAGGTTTGTGGCAAGGAGGCTTACTCTGAAACATCTAGAGGGTATTTCTCTAGGTCTGTGGGAAGGAGACTTACCCTGAAACATCTAGAGGGTACTTATCTAGGTTTGTGGTAAGGAGACTTACCCTGAAAGATATAGAGGGTATTTCTCTAGGTTTGTGGTAAGGAGACTTACCCTGAAACATCTAGAGGGTATTTCTCTAGGTCTGTGGTAAGGAGACTTACCCTGAAACATCTAGAGGGTATTTTTCTAGGTTTGTGGTAAGGAGACTTACCCTGAAACATCTAGAGGGTACTTCTCTAGGTTTGTGGCAAGGAGGCTTACTCTGAAACATCTAGAGGGTATTTCTCTAGGTTTGTAGTGAGGAGACTTACCCTGAAACACCAAGAGGGTATTTCTCTAGGTTTGTGGTAAGGAGACTTACACTGAAACATCTAGAGGATATTTCTTTAGGTTTGTAGTGAGGAGACTTACCCTGAGACATCTAGAGGGTATTTCTATAGGTTTGTGGCAAGGAGGCTTACTCTGAAACATCTAGAGGGTATGGCTCTAGGTTTGTGGTGAGGAGCCTTACCCTGAAACACAAAGAGGGTATTTCTCTAGGGTTGTGGTAAGCAGACTTACCTTGAAACATCTAGAGGATATTTCTTTAGGTTTGTGGTAAGTCTCCTTACAGATGTTTCAGGGTAGGTCTCCTTACCACAAATCTGGAAAAATACCCTCTAGATTTTTCAGAGTAAGCCTCCTTGCCACAAACCTAGAGAAGTACCCTCTATATGTTTTAGGGTAAGTCTCCTCACCACAAACCTAGAGCCATACCCTCTAGATGTCTCAGGGTAAGTCTCCATACCACAAACCTAGAGCCATACCCTCTAGATGTCTCAGGGTAAGTCTCCATACCACAAACCTAGAAAAATACCCTCTAGATTTTTCAGAGTAAGCCTCCTTGCCACAAACCTATAGAAGTACCCTCTAGATGTTTCATGGCAAGTCTCCTTACCACTAACCTAGAGAAATACACTCTTGATGTTTTAGAGTAAGTCTCCTTACCGCAAACCTAGAGAAATCCCTTCTAGATGTTTCAGAATAAGTCTCCTTACCAAAAACCTAGCGAAATACCCTCTTGATGTTTTAGGGTAAGTCTCCTTCCCACAAACCTAGAGAAGTACCCTCTATATGTTTTAGGGTAAGTCTCCTTACCCCAAACCTAGAGAAATTCCTTCTAGATGTTTCAGGGTAGGTCTCCTTACCACAAGCCTAGAGAAATACCCTCGAGATGTTTCAGGGTAAGCCTCCTTGCCACAAACCTAGAGAAGTACCCTCTAGATGTTTCAGTGTAAGTCTCCTTACCCCAAACCTAGAGAAATTCCTTCTAGATGTTTCAGGGCAAGTCTCCTTACCACTAACCTAGAGAAATACCCGCTATATGTTTCAGGGCAAGTCTCCTTACCACTAACCTAGAGAAATACCGTCTAGATGTTTCAGGATAAGTCTCCTTACCACAATCCTAGAGAAATACCCCCTAGATGTTTCCGGGTAAGTCTCCTTACAGATGTTTCAGGGTAATTCTCCTTACCACAAAGCTAGAGAAATACCCTCTTGCTGTTTCAGGGTAAGTCTCCATACCACAAACCTAGAAAAATACCCTCTAGATGTCTCAGGGTAAGTCTCCATACCACAAACCTAGAAAAATACCCTCTAGATGGTTCAGAGTAAGTCTCCTTACCCCAAACCTAGAGAAATTCCTTCTAGATGTTTCAGAATAAGTCTCCTTACCAGAAACCTAGAGAAATATCCTCTATATGTTTCAAGGTAAGTCTGCTTACCGCAAACCTAGAGAAATATCCTATAGATGTTTCAGGGTAAATCTCCTTACCACAAATCTACAAAAATTCCCTCTAGATGTTTCAGGGAAAGTCTCCTTACCAAAAACCTAGAGAAATACCCTCTTGGTTTGTGGTAAGGAGACTTACCCTGAAACATCTAGAAGGTATTTCTCTAGGTTTGTGGTAAGGAGACTTACTCTGAAACATCTAGAGGGTATTTCTCTAGGTTTGTGGTAAGGAGACTTACCCTGAAACATCTAGAGGGTATTTTTCTAGATTTGTGGTAAGGAGACTTACCCTGAAACATCTAGAGGGTATTTCTCTAGGTCTGCAGTCAGGACTCTCCTCAGGTGTATGCACATTAGATAGGACATTGCTATCAGAAATGTCAATCTGAAAAGAAAATTAGAAAATTAAAAAAAAAATAATAATCTTTAATATTTAGTCAACGAAATCAGAATATTAAAGACACTTAGAAAAAAGAAAACAATAAAATTCTGCTGCATCAGGTTTTTAATAAAATGTTTACTCATCAGGATCTCATATTGAAACATTGTAATTGGTACTCACCATTTAAAATATTGATATTACCTCACATTTCTATCTAGAGTTTGATGACCATTTTTTTGTAATTTCTTCCCAAATTTAATTTTGATGATAATTACCATAAAGTACTCAATATGCAATCAACAGTATTTAATGATAAAAGTTTGATTAATGGTGATCATGTTAACTCATTCACCCCTGAAGACACATTTAAACTCTTCCAATTCAAAAGTTGGAAAAGTTCATTATGAAATTTCAGGGGTGAATGAGTTAAGCAAATAAAATATGCATGAAAGTAAAAGTTCACAGACACTAGGTGTTAGTTATAGGTTACGCTATATGATTTTACTTATCATGGTACATTTTAAAGATTGTATTCATTAATTATTCAACCCATGTAGAGCATTTCTTCATCCATCATAATTTTCTCCATGTTAGTATATACCTTTTTCTTTTCTTATTCAAATTGTTACACTAATGGTAAAATGAGGTAAATAAACATTTCATAGAAAGAAAGGGAATGGTATTTACAATGTATAATGACAGGGGTTCTTATTACAGCAACTACGGTCGTTTATCTAGTTGACAATGGTACATATAATAACCCTCTCACCACTATAGACCATAATGGACTAACCCAGGTCAATGCATGGTAGGGTTTATTTAACAAACATAGGGGTGAAACGGTTAATACTTACATGTGAATAATGGATGTGGGGGCCAGCAGCAAGGCTGTGTAGCAGAGACCCGCGTGTATAAACACATGGATACACTCACTAAAATATAAATCAGGAGTGCAAGTATCAGGAAAAATGTAGCAAGGCTAAGATTTTAATGGCATAAACAGGAATCTTTCACTCTCTAAAGCAAAACTGAAGCAAACAATTTTAAAAGACACACTGCTGTGCAAACAATTGTGAAAACCTATCTTCGTTTCCTTGGAAATGTGTTTAATGAAAAATAACAACATTTAACTCCTTTACCCCTGAAGAAACATTTGAACCCTTCCAATTCAAAGGTTGGAATAGTCCATTATGAAATTTCTGGGAAGAATGAGTTAAACATCTTTTAAAAACTTTTCTGCGCAATATATTGCCAAATTAATTAAGATGAAACTAATAATGTCATTTAAAATTTAACTGGTGCAATAGAGACACAGTCACCAGACTCAATATAATCTGATTCTTACCAGATAACAGGGTAATTTAGGAATTTACATGTCAGATCTTTAATGCAAATCTAAAGAGGATAATATTTTCTGCAAATATTTTCATGTAGTGTAAATAAAGTCAGATACAGAGCAAACATTTCTGTGAAAATCCATATAGTTTCATTACCTTCCATACACGAAATACAGCAAACACATTCCCAGACTGGCCGCAGATAACTGTCTGGTAAACACTGAAACCTTCATGGGACACAGGTAACGGCGATAAGCAAACGCAAAGATGAGGGCAAGGATCTCTGCAGATATCACATTTATCTGGAGGAGAAAAGAAAAGATGGAAAATAAAAAGAATCTTAAAAAGAAAATTATGCAGGTTATTTTTCCCACATATATGACATCCATACTATTATAAATACAAGGCAAGTTCCTGTTTTCACATATATGACATCACATACTATTACAAATACAAGGCAAGTTGGTTACATAGAGTTCATATGATTGAACGACATTTTTTTTCATTTTCATGCTGGTGTAGTATGGTACATTTAATATGAAGGCCATGTTGAAATGAACCGCGGTTCATATTACCATTATGGTAATATGAACCGCCCCATGGTGAAATGAAGGCTACCATCAATTTCTATTCTTACAAATTTTTTTCCATTTTTGTTTTAATTTTACTTCAATTTGATGTATTCTTTCTGGAAATGACAAAAATTAAGTCTGGGGTAGAGAAATTCAGGGTGGGGCAGGGGCGCTTCACTTTATCATAATGGTGAAATGAATCGTTTTAGCATTTTTTTTCAATTTGACTTTTTTAAACCAAATCTGATTTAGTTTACATCAGTTTGATGTCCTGAATATCTCAAACCAGACTGGATTCGAACCCTGGACTTCAGATTGTTGTACTAAAGCTATAACCATGAACTACGCTACCTGGTCAACAGATGTTTTCTGCCATAAAGGTGCCACAGTTTTAATCCAAAACGAAAATAAGGGGAGATTACTATAGGAAAACCCCACTGCAGAGGGATAGGAATGCTCAACACAAAAAACGATGTGTACACAGTCAATCAAAACTAGTCGAAGACACAAATAAACTTTATATATAAGTTTCAAAGGGTTTTGTTAGACTGCAAATAGGTCATTGTTTACCTAACTATATCTAAATCTATGTGGTCATGTGACACATTGTGTCTACTGCTTGTGTAATCAGGTGATAAAAGCTACAGTTACATAATGTCGTACACAAATACTGTTAATGTTTGTCAGAGAAGATAACATTCTACCATATTTGGTCTATAAAAACGTCTCGGGCGTCACATTTTTCAAAAGAATTTTCTGATGGCACGATAGAAAGATTAAAAAAAATAAAGACTTGGCTTTCATCACATAACCTATGTTTTGCTACCTTAATAAGCGCCCCCTTCACCCAATTTTGTTTCATGCACCCTGGGCGCTTATTTCAATGAATATGGTAAACATACAATATTTCTTTTGAGTGAATATATATCCAGGCTCAGATCTTTCTACCATACCGACACTGGAGCGTAATTTTTTAGAACTGCGCTGCATTATACACGGCTGTTTTAAGTGTTTTTACCAAGGTTTGACAAAAATAATCAATTTACAATTTAATTATTAAACATTCTCACATTTCACAATATTGTGAGAATGACTTCTTTTTGTTTACACTCCTGAAAAATTTGACAGGTAAATTATAACGAGTGTGTTTTCTTTACTGCTGGTCCTGTGATGACCCATTCACCCCTCAAGTCACAATTGAACCTTACCCAATCATAGACTGGGCAAGTCCCATTTAAATATTTAGGGGTGAATGAGTTAAATAACTCAAGTTTGTATCTGTTGTCAGAGGCAGATGGTTCTGCATAATTTACAATTGATTTTAGAGACATTTAAATGTATTTAAATTTTCTGTGATCAGTTACCAACTAAAAATATTGTTCTTATATTTATCATATTATTCCGGACAAAGGATTGGTCAGAAGTGCATCATGTGTCCACCGATAAAAACAGATATTGAATTGGAGCGCGTGATTTTTGTTGAAAGATTTATGACGTGTCTCCAAACGAACGTACCGTCATGCTTACATAGCTTTTTTGTTGTGGATTTTTTTCCAGATTGCTTACAATACCGTTTTAAAAATAATAAAACAAGTGTAGTCTTTAACTTTAATTGTCAGTTTGCCAGTGTATTACACTCTGGATTTAAGATGTTTCCATTTGGCTTCAGATTTGTATAAAAAAATGTGAACTGCTTCATTTTTAAAACAGAATATATATATTTATTATTAATTATGGCATTGCCACTATATGTTTACATATATAACCCTACCGAAATCAGATGACATATCGTTACCAGCTATTTAGAGATATATATACGTTCTGGCCAACGTGTTGAGGTCATCATTTTGACTACCCCAAAACCACCTGTACACTGTTAACCCTACCTCGACCCCTCCCCCCTCAAATCCATTCCCTACCACCACCTGTACTCCCTCTTACACAAACTTATCAACTTCCATTCCCCCTCCTTACAACCACCTTCTGTAACACCCCCCTCCCCCAACCTATCAATACTTCCAATCCCCCTCTTCTGTAACCAACCCCCCCTACACACACTAATATGGATACTTCCACTCCCCTCCTCTGTACCCCCCTACACACACTAATATGGGTACTTCCACTCCCCTCCTCTGTACCCCCCTACACACACTAATATGGATACTT